AAACTCTTAAAGATTGTTCAGGTCTAGAATTTCAGATAAATTCTAGGTGTGGTGTTAACTAGAACGAAGAGTCTCTAGGCTCTGATCTGGTCCTGTTGCATTTTTGTGCTGACCCCCTCGTCATCCTTGCCGTTACCGGGTATTTTTACTTTCTTTCTGCTCCTTTTCCTTTTGCGTGTGATTCCCCGTGGGGGACGGGGGGGGGGGGGGGGGGGGTGGTACTCACCAGGGCTCGTCGGTGGGCTCCCAGCAGACCAGGCACACGCTGCAGGTGAAACACATGGCGCGGTCATCCCCCGTGGAGGCCGGCTTTAGGGAGACAGCGGGGGTGGGGGGGTCAATGCCGTCAGTATTTAATTCAATTCAATTTTATTTATATAGCGCCACATCACAACAACAGTGGTCTCACAGCTTTCCAAACAGAGCAGGTCAGACCCTACTCTGAAGTTAACTACAGAAACCCAACAATTCCCACCATGAGCAAGCACTAGGCGACACAGGCAAGGAAAAACTTCCTTTTAACAGGCAGAAACCTGGAGCAGAACCATGGCTCAGGGTGGGCGGCCATCTGCCTGGGCCGGTTGGGGGTGAGAGAGAGAGGGAGCAAGAGAGAGGCAGCCAACACAGCAACACGTAGACTAGAAAAAAATGGCATCTAGTCTAGGCTAATTTCACTCTGCAGCCTGAGGGGACCCAAGTCCCGTTTTTTGTGAAACCTCATTTTCCGCACTATAAGGCCCCTAAAAGCCTTCAAGTTTCTCCAAAACCGACAGTGTGCCTCATACATGGATCAGGATTGAGTTTAAACAGGTCTGCAACTACAGGAACCAGCAGCTGACTCCGTTTTCAACATAGAAGGCGCCACCTTGTGGAGACTCCACACTACTGCTCCCATTTTAAAAGTGGACGCAGTAAGAGAGGGCGGCTGTTTAAAAAATGTGGACATTAAAGGTTTTCTGATCCTAACTACGACAAGAGGTAGTTCAAATAATTCTATACCAGCGTTTTGTTGTTTTTCTTTTTTACAAGAAAAGCTTGTCAGCTGTATGCTAGCCTCCATATGTTGTGATTGACTAACGTTTGATTTACCGTAGAGATATCAGACTGTTTCTTTGACGTGTTTACTGAATCGAGGAAAAGTTCCCCTCCACTACCTGATCAAAATGCTGCACGACCTGTTATACGTTGTTTTTGTTACAAGATAAAATATGAGATAAAGACACTACGTCACCGACATGAACTCGGGAAAAATAATAAAACAATTGTTTGTTCAATTTGGGAGTGAACGGAGTCGTCAGAACGTTGGTTTGTGTTCTGTTCATAAAGTCTGACTGACTTATCTGACATTCTTTTTAGCGTAGCAGCATCTGCTGGATGCATAGCAACCCCAACTACTACTGAAGCTTCTACTCTATGTGCCTTATAATCCGGTGCACTTTATAGTGCGGAAAATACGGTAAATAAATCTGCGCGATTCGTATGCAATATCCAGTGTGAGCTGCAGGTGAGCCTAAAAGTGTCCTGCAGGAGCTGTAGAGGATGCTAATGGCACAGTCAGCCAGCTGCTTTAGGCTCCTCGTATTTGGCCCAGATGCTCTTTATTTCTCTTTGGCATTGGAGGCAGGAAGGTTTATACCCACGCTCGGCCATTTCGTGGGAAATGCTAACAAAAATCACCCGGTTCCAATCAGTTCCCTTTCAGTCTGGCCTGGATAATACTGTCAGAAACCTGTTCTGGTTGTCTGCCGTTGTGGTCGTTGTTTTTCTTTAGCAGAAAAGTGGTGTTTGTTGAGTATCATTGACATGTGGGTCAGAAGAATGTGACCCGATAAGACTCGGGTCACGTTTAAAAGGATCAGATACATGTCTGCTTTAGGCCCACTTATCCAGTGGGGTATCCATTTGAAAAAATCCACTCTATATTGTTCATATCCAGGTCAAAATAAGGCAAAAAAGAGTGGGATTTGGGTCACCTCAGGCTGCAGCCTTAGTCCTGCCTCCTA